GCTGCTGATTCCAGAGCCTCTGTCTCTCCGCTGCTTGTGGCTGCTGCAAAGCTTCAGGCCTGTGAGGCCGATCCCCAGTGGGCAAAACTGCCTCCGCTTGCTGCCTGCGCTGCTTGCTGCATGCTCTGCCGCGGTTACGATGGGCGGTGAGCTGAGGTGTTCTCTCAGGCGTTACAGGAGTTGTTGTGCACTGCCTCTGCGACTGGGAGGGAGGAATCGCTGTGTGGCTTGCATGAAGGGCTGGTAGCCAGGAGCAGTTGGCTCTGCTGGCACCTGCTGTGACTGGGCAAATCCTGCCTCATTTCTGAGCCTGTTTCTCCCTCTGAAACACAGACCTGGCAATAGCTCCTCCCGCTGCTTGTAAGGTTTAGTTTACGCGTGTCTGTGAAATGGTTTGGAGTTGTTGTTTCAAATAGATAAAAGCCAGGCAGAGAGCACAAAACTGTGACACAAAACTGCAGCTGTCTCAGGTGGATGCTGCACCCGTTTCTGTTCAGCAGCCCCAGCCCTGTTCACTGGGAGCCAGGACTGGAGTGGCGGTGACTTTAACTGCTGTTTATCTAACGCTTATCTCATGCCACAGGGGCCTCTGGTGGGAGCGTGGTGCCCTGTTCGCCTTCCTCTTATTGTGTGGCTACAGCAGAAAACACCACAAGCTCCGGTTGCCGGCCCTTCGGGTGAGCAGCGGTGGACAGGGCTCCCCAGGAGCCAGGCAGAGGTGAACTCAGCCCAGGAACTGGGGTCAGGGAAAACATCTCCTTTACAATAGGAGTGACAGGATTTTTAATAAAGGCAGGTTTGTGTGATGTAGCAAGAGACAGCAATTACAATCTCTACAGAAAAGGTCTGCTCCTGCGAGGCCTCACGAAGGGAGCACAGCCCTCCCCTATGCAGGCATCTGCCATCCCCAACCTCTGCCGGGCTGGGGGTGTCTGTCAGGTTGTGGCTGTTACTTGGGAACAACTGAGCCCTTCCTGTGGCACCGCTGGAAGTTCAGCACAGAAAAGCATCCCCTAAGACTGACAGAGCGAAAACACCATCATGGCAATGGGAGCACAGGAATTTTTCCTCTCTGGCAGAACTCGGTCTGCCCTGGGAGGTGTTTTCTGCTGAGGTGCTTTCAATCCTCCCGCAGCTCCCCCAGGCCAGAGCTTGTCTGGTGGGCCCTGTGTGGGCAGAGAGGGGTGCAGGAGCTCCAGCTCACCCCGCAGCGGCTGGGATCAGCCCTTTGTGGTGATAGCAGCGCGTGGAGATGTGAGCTGGTTGTGTTCTGCATGTTATGGCTGCATGTGAACCAAACCCGACTGTTTGTGCTGTTGCAATTGTGTAAAAATAACGAAATTAATTACAGATGTGGTTAGCATGCGCGTGTGAAAAATGCTCCATTAAACCTTCAGACCGGAGACAGGCGTGGATGGGAGTTCTGGGACTTTGATTTTTACGCGCTGACCATAAGAGCCTCTTCAAGAGCAATCCAGGAGCCCTCCTCGCGTTTTGGGAACATTCCCCAGCTTTGCTGGTGATTCTGCAGTGCCTGAAGGGCTCTGCGAGGCCGGGGGGAACGCGACTCGGCTTTTTGTCTCGGTGGCCTTTTATACCGCGGGGAAGTGTTTACTCGTGTTGTGGCAACGGGCGCAGGACGGATGGGGCTGCGGGTGAGTCACTGCAGGGGAACTTGCTGGGAAACTGTGCCAGATGAGGAGCGCCCTTGGCGGAGCAGGGCAGGGGCCGCCTGCCCAGAGATCTCCCGGCTCTGTGTGTTTGGAGCAGGAGGAGCACGGAGCGGCCCAGCACCCGGCTGGCAGGTGGCGCCCCGGGGGCTGGGAATGGGATGGGGGCCCCCCGAGCACCCTAGGGTCTGCAGACGGACAGACAGACAGACAGATGGGCTGCCAGACCATGGCTCTGCCAACGGGAGGGAGCCTCCCCCAGTAAACTGCGTCCCCGGGGAGTTCGGTGCTGAAGGGAGCGCACAGCTCTACCTGTCACTGCCAAATGGGCTAGGGGTGCAAACTGCAGATGGGTGAAGGAGGAGAACCTGGATCAGGGCAGAACCTTTACATGAAGCTCATCCAGTGGCAGCGAGCTCAGTCCCAGCACACACAGCACTGCCTGTCCTGCTGCTGGGCATAGCTGTGCTGTGTGCACGGAGCAGGAGGATTTCTCTTCTGCTGGTATAAAAATCTGAGAAGTCTCATTGACCGCTGTCCTTGTGCCAGCTGGACCCAGGCTGTCTCTGAGAACAGAACGGGTTTGTGTCTGGAGAGGAGCCAGGGTCTGAGCACCCCAACCGGCAGGGATGCCAAGACCCAGGGCTGTGGACTCGCCCACTTCAGGGGTCAGTGTTTTCCCAGTACAAGTAGAGTGGTTGGAATGCCTGGAGTTAAAAATGTGGCTCATCTGGGTGAGTCACGAGTGAAATGAAGCACACAGAGCACAGTGCCCTGCGCAGAGCGGGGATTTGTGCACCAGCCGCCTGCAGACCTGGGATGGTTCCCGACGGTTCCAGAGAGGTCCCTTTGTCCCCACAGGCTCGGCTGTGTCTGCAGCATGGCCCATGTGGGGCAGCTCCGTTCCCCACCAAAACACCTCTGGCAGGAGCAGACCCTGCTGCACCGGGGCCATGCTGCTGCGGGGATGCTCAGCAGCCACGTGCTGGTCCCCTCTAGGACGCGTGGAGCTGTTTGTTGTGCCGGCTCCAGCTGCCCTGTGCACCAGCCAGAGCCCACCAAACCAGCAGGAGCGGTGTCTTGCTGCAGGTGGCCTTGGGTCAGCAACGCGACCCACGGCTCGCAGGGCTGAGACTCCCCAGCTGCCTCCAGCTGGGCCCTGGAGCTGACAGGAGCAACTGAGCTGAGGGAAAACACACAGGAATGATGCCAGGCGCAGGAGAGACGAGAGCTGGGGCCCTGGGCTTGGGCTGCGGTGGGCACGCTGCCCTGTACGGTGAGAGCTGCAAAGGGTTTCCCAAGCACAGCTGGAGAACAGCTCCAGGCCATGGTCTGGGGGAGCTGGGATTGGAGGCACCCTGTGGGAATGGCTCTGCTCCCTCTTGGCCCGTTTGAGCAGTGAGGTGCCCCCGCAGAGGCATGAGCAGGGTCCTGAGTCCATGAGCACCGTGGGGCTGGTGTGGGACAGCAGCAGTGTGGGTGCGTGCGTGGGCGCAGCTGGGAGCAAAAGCCGGCAGCGGCTGTTCTCGGGATTAAGGGCTCAGAGCCGCAGCGTCGCCCTGACAGCGCTGCTCCAGCTGCCCACGTACCTGGAGCTGCCGCTGGCCATGTCCGTGGGTGCTGCCAGGGTGGGGTGGGAGCACTGCTGGTGCAGCCACAGCAGAGAACTCGGTCAGGAGACGGCTTTGCTGGTGTGGCACGAGGACAGGCGGTGTTGATGTGGCTGACGTGGAGCTCTGAGGTGGTGTTTCTGCACACACACACACTCTGGAGCTACCAAGGGGCTGATAAGGATCGGAGTTTGCAGGATATGGCCCGTTTCCAGCTGCGGCCGAGCCAGGCCAGGGGATGCCTTTGTTCTGGCTCATTGTGTGGCTGAGGGAAGGAAGCCGCGGGGTTCCTGATGTTCCTGGAGGGGCAGGGTCCCCCGCGCCTCTGGGATCGCTGCGGCAGGTGGTGTTGTGGGGAACAGGATCCCTGCCCTGGCCTGGTGGGGGCTTGTTCTGGGCTGGCCCGGCCCTCAGGAGAGCCTGTGCATTGTTTTGTCCTGCAGTGGCTATCAAATGAAGAAAACACATGTTGGCCACTGCATCTCAATCTCCAGAAAGTATCTGGGACCTGAGCTGTGACCCAGGGGGTGAGGAGTTTCGCCCAGCACAGCTTTTTGCTCTGAATAAAGCCCACAATGAAGGCTCTGCTCGGGCAGGCTCTGTGTTTTGACCATGGGCACAGCAGCCCATGTTGCTGTGGCTTCCATGCCTTTCCTGCCCAGCTCGGGCAATAAATTTCTGAGCCGCAGGGCTGCAGCCGCACAGCTGCGACACTTTGCACAGTGAGGGGCTATTTCCAGCCTGCCCTGGGAGCGGAGCGGTGATTCCTGGCAGCAGGGACGCACGCTATGTGCTGCTCAGATGAAAACCAACCCCGCTGCGGGCCTGCGCCCCTCTCCTGGGCACACGCTCGGCCTTTGCCCCAGGATTGCAGCTTGGCTGACCCAGGGAGCAGAGAAGCAGAATGAATTCCCCTCCCGTCCCAAGCAGACACAGCGTAGCCCTGCAGACCCAGCTGGGCCAGCCGGGGCCGCCCTCGCTGCTGCCCTCGCACACGGGCTGGGGCCGATTCCCTGACTTATTCCCCAGCAGAGAAATGGGAAAAACAGGATGGCTTGATCCATCCCAGGAGATGTCCTGGCCCCACATCTGGATCCTGCAGGCCTTGGGAAAGTCTGAGCACAGAGCGGGGTTGGCCAGGCCAGCGTGAGCACGGCGAGGCCAGACACCACAGCCGGACACACGGCT